CCTGCGGCGGCCGCGGTCGGGAGGGGAGCGGCTGCGGGACGGGGAGGAGACCGAGGAGAAGGAGGAGAGGGAGCGGGAGGAGGGGGAGGAGAGCGAGGGGGAGCGGGAGCGGCGGCCCGCCATCGCCTCGCGTCGCCCGCCGCCGGAGATGTCGCCGGTGTCGGTCGCTCAGTCTATCTGTGTCTTTTTTTTCTTTGAAACAGTGGGAAGGAAGGTCATGGTTTTGATGATGGCCTACCTGATTTTATTTATTTCTGAGGTTCTTCTCCTGCTTTGGTTCATTGGTTGCCATGTCAATTTTCAGGAGAAAAAAATGTCAATGTTTGTACTTGTGTACAAGTGAGAAAACTTTGTTTTGTAGATCTGGTGTGGATGACTGCTGAGGATTAGCCAACCTATTTTCTTATTAGGAGCTAGGTTAGCACTTTGAGAAGTTGTAGTCACCTGTTTTCTCCTTTTCATCAACCCTCTTCATCTTTTGAATCAGACTCGCTCCAGCTAAAGCGCATCCAATTTTCAGAAGAAGAAAAAAGGATATCTCATATGCTTATGTTTATTTTCAAATAGAAGGTCTTAAAAACTTTGTATAAGTCTCGGAAAAAAACTTTCTTTAGAGCATCTACAGCTGGACCCTTTATTCCCCCGAAACGTCCGCCCGATCAGTGCCCGATCAAAAAAAGGTGACCCAACCGGACCATCTCACTTCATTTGAGGATCTTCGTGAACATACTATAGGGCGCGAGTAATTCCATTTATAATCTTGAATCCCTTGCTCCAGTCCATGAATAACGCATCCACCACTCAAACAATAAATATCGACTTTGTTTGGAGATGGAAGCTCTGTTGCTCGAACTGTTTGCAGTTCAGCTTTGAGAATTTGGCAACACCATATCCTCGTGAGATATTTCGTTCATGAATAACGATAAAAAAAGGGCATGGATGAGGGCATATGCCCCCCCCCCTCCTCGGTGCACTTCACGACGTTGTGTTTATTCAATAGTTATTTATATTTGAGTGGATTATAATCATTATTTACATCATGTAATCACATGTAAATGGTGTACTGAGACTCACCTGGCCGCAAGTTCTGTGATGGTCACTTCATTTGACGATGCATTTCTTGCATTACCTACTAGATTTGGTTCAGAGTTGGTATTGTTCTCCTAGGTGCAAAAGGATGGTCTGGTCATACATGGGAGATACACATCGTTACTTGTGAGCATGAAGATTACTGCTGACATCGAAGGCCTATCGGCCGGCTTTTTCTGAACACATAATAGCCCGATGTGGATGCATTTCAACAATTTGTTATTCTAAAAACAATTCTTCAATGATGGATCTATCAACTCCATGGCTTTATCCCTCGTCCACTGCTCTAAATTCCACAACAAATTGTTCAGATTTGGTGTGAAAACTTAGCAGCACTATCTCTGACATAACAATGATTAGACATTAAACTTTGTGAGCAATATATGAGCTTAGAAAGCTTAGAAAATCAACATCTTGATTAGAGTCATAGAATCCGGAGTTTCATCTTCCAGTAACGATCTCTAAAATCGAAACTCCCAGGCTAAATACATCGGACCTGGTCGAATATTGACCACGCATCACGTACTCTGGCGACATATACCCACTGAAACAAGAGTGTGATGTTTTATTGTGAAAGTTCAGGACATGCGTGGTTTAACATATACCAATTAATAACCTTCTAGGGACTTACTACACTTGCTATGTTCCATCAATGCGATGAGTAACAAATATGTGATTGAAAATATGTGATTGATCCCCTCCAAATATCTTTGCTAAGCCGAAGTCAGAAATATCTGTTGGAGATATTCCGTTCATGAATAATGATAAAAAATAGATATATCGCCATGTTGTGTTTGTTCAGTAGTTTTTTATATTCGAGTAGATTATAAGCATTATTTGCATTATGTAATCACATATAGATGGTGTATTGAGACTCATATAGCCGCAAGTTCTGTGATGGTCACTTCATTGGCGGACATGAGGCACCCGCCAAGCGCAGTCAACACGATGAACCACCCACTACTCGGTGAGAGTGAGCTCAGAGACGGGGTGACCGAGGATTGGGATGGTCGCGTCCTTCCCAGCCGCGCCTTCGCCCCGTCAATCACGTTGCAATCACAGTGGGGAAGCCTGCACCCCATGGCAGTTGAAAATTGCAGCGCCATGAGCACACCCAGAAGCAACAATGTTGTCTTCCGATGCATTTCTTTCCCTTGGTGGTGGACTGTTGTAGTGCGCGTAGAGGACGGAGGTGGCACACGATTCTCAATTTATAGGGCGGCCGTCAGCTGCTTAGCCGAGTGGCATCATTGGCTATCCCTAAAAAAGCTGATTGGCTAGTACCCCAACGGAACCGGATCTTCAATTCATATGATTAAGGCTAAAATGACGTGAATTGATCTCTACTCCTAATGGACGAATTGGTTGAATAGTCCCCCCACTTTCAACCGGTTTATTTTCAACCAGTTTTTCTTCGTCCCACCTCCCACCAGCCCCTCCCACCGGTTTTTCTCTTTTCTCGTCTGACCGGCAATACCCAACGTATTTATGGTAATCAATCATAATTAATCCACGTATAGTAATAAATCAATCCAGGTATGGTAAGGTCATAACTCAGGAAATTTTGAATATGGCAATTATATGATAATAAATTTAAATTACCCCAAAGGCTATCAATCCAGATATGGTAAGGCCATAACTCGGGAAATATCGAATATGGTAATAAATTTAAATTACCACCAGGTATGGTAAGGCTATCCACGTATAGTAATAAATCATAATTAATCCACGTATAGTAATAAATCAATCCAGGTATGGTAAGGTCATAACTCAGGAAATTTTGAATATGGTAATAAATTTAAATTACCCCAAAGGCTATCAATCCAGGTATGGTAAGGCCATAAATCGGAAAATATCGAATATGGTAATAAATTTAAATTACCCCAAAGGCTATCAATCCAGGTATGGTAAGGCCATAACTCGGGAAATATCGAATATGGTAATAAATTTAAATTACCACTAGGTATGGTAAGGCTATCCACGTATAGTAATAAATCATATAGTAATAAATCATAATTAATCCACATATAGTAATAAATCAATTCAGGTATGGTAAGGTCATAACTCAGGAAATTTGAATATGGTAATTATATGGTAATAAATTTAAATTACCCCAAAGGCTATCAATCCAGGTATGGTAAGGCCATAACTCGGGAAATATCGAATATGGTAATAAATTTAAATTACCACCAGGTATGGTAAGGCTATCGATCCAGGTATGGCACGCCCTCACCTGATCACCTATCACAATCTCCAGCCCCACGCACGCACCAAAGAACCCACCCGGCACCAAACGCAGCTCCTCTCGACCCCCTCGAGTAAACGCCGCCACCGTCGTGCGATCTTCCTGACACAGACGCCGTCGCCGCCTCCTTCCCACCTACGGCGTCCCCCACGTCCATGGTGACGGCGCTCGCGTCCTACACTGACCCTCCGCCTCATATAGGTTGGTCGTTGATGGAGTGGGATGTGCCGCTGCGGTTTGGGGAGGCGCAATCACGACCTGGTTGGGATCTCAGTGTGGACTCGTTCTCTACGATGAAGGATGGCGCTGCCTCCCTGGTAAATGGGATCGGAGGAAGGGGCTCTACGTCGTGAATGTCGGCGAGGCAGCGGCCGAAGGCGAGCCCGACGGTGAGCACGGGTGTTCGTCCCATGAAGTAGGCGGCCACGGAGGGCGGATCTGAGGCCACCCCAATCACTGGTGGCCCTTCCTCCCATCGCTCATCGCCTCCATTCTCTCTCTCCTCTAAATCTTTGTCGCCCCTGCCTGATTCTGGCCGACGCCATCCGGCTCTCGCATCGACCACCACCAGCACGGTTGCGGCCGAGGCGCAACCGCAGACGCCGCCGCCGCCATCCTCATCCACCTCCTCCACCATCCTTCCCAGCCGTCGTCGGGGGCACCCGCCATCTGCGCTCTAGCCCACCCGCTCCCTCCTATCCCCTCCCCCTGCCTGCCAGCCCCGTGATCCATCGCACAGATGGCAGGTACTACAGCGACCTCGTCCCCAGCGGATCCGGCCTCCTCCGATGGAGATCCATCCTGGGCACCGCCTTATTCTCATGCGTGCACGTCTATATCAACGTCTCATTCCACCTCACCTCACCTGAGCCTTTACCTTCCCACCTCTGCTTCAGATCCACATCACTTTGCAAGGTATGTGCTTGATTGTTCCGAACTGGATCGATGGA